AGCCTGTCTTTCCCACATTGTATATTCTTACCTCCTTTGTTGTAGATTAATTGCCCAATGGCATTTTTCACAGAACTAGAATAATGCTTAACTGTGTATGGAAACACAAAGACTTCAAATAACCAAAACTATCTTGAGAAAGAAGAGCTAGAGGTATCATGCTCCCTGATTTCAAACTATACTACAAAGCTGCAGTCATCAAAGCAGTATGATACTGGCACAAAAACAGACACATAGATCAACAGAATAGAATAGAGAGCCCAGATATGAACCCACACTTGTATGTGCAATTAATCTTCACAAACATTTTACAGATTTAAGAGTTATATATTTTAAAATTCATTTATGTGTAGACTCTGTGGCAAGTGATACTGGTTTTCCATTTATAGCAATGATATAAACCACTTTAGAATACATTGATTTAAGTTAAAAGGGTATGTCTTTAAAGAGAAATGGTAATACGTGGTGCTACGTGTGGTGGCAGAAGTTGAGAAAGTTGATGCATGATTAATTGAAGTTTGGGAAACATTGGCTTATTTGTAAATAATATTTTATACTAGCTTGTAGTACTGTAATTTCAATTAATTGTTAAATAAAAACCTCATAGTCATTTTAATTGTTTGACTCTTACTTAGTTAAAAGTAAGAACATATATGTCAAATGCTGTTCTATTGAGAAGGTTTGTAGGACTTCCTGGCAAAGAGTAGGGCAATTTTATAAAAGTCATACATATACTCACTAATTTCAAGGATAAATTGGCATGGCAAACCAAGCACTATGCAAAGGGCTTTTGTTAAATTTTATCAATCAAAAGTTGCGGAAGATTCTTCTGGTTTGGGTTCATATATGCTAATATTTAGTGAGAAGAGTAGACAGCATATTATTTTTTCCCTGAGAAGCAGAAAAGGAAAACCAGGATATTTAGAATATGCTTTGAAGTTAATTTTATCCAGAAAGCATTTTTAGAAATATTAGAATATCTGGGAACAAATCTTTGAGTAATAGTTAAATATAGATTTTATTTTTATTTAACATTTCATAACTGATTTAGTTACTCCACATTTAAAAAACAAATTAATACACCTTACTACAAAATACAAGAAATATGGAGATAGTAGAAAATATAAGTAGGAATTCCTTCTTCTTCTACTAATATTCCCCCAGCCCTATTCCTTAGGCACAACTACTGTTAACAGTTTGAAGTCACCTAATTTTATTTTATTTATTTATATTTTTGACTGTGCCATGCGGTTTGTGGGATCTTAGTTCCCCGACCAGGGATTGAACACGGGCCACAGGGAACCCATGGCTGCTAGGGAATTCCCCTGAAGTCACCTATATTTTTTTAATAAATTTATTTTTAAAAATTTTTGGCTGTGTTGGTCTTCGTTGCTGCGCACGGGCTTTCTCTAGTTGTGGCGAGCGGGGGCTACTCTTCGTTGCCTATTGCGGTGGCTTCTTTTGTTGTGGAGCATGGGCTGTAGGTGTGTGGGCTTTGGTAGTTGTGGCACGCAGCTCGGTAGTTGTGGCTCTAGAGTGCAGGCTCAGTAGTTGTGGCGCACAGGCTTAGTTGCTCCGTGGCATGTGGGATCTTCCCAGACCAGGGATAGAACCCGTGTCCCCTGCGTTGGCAGGTGGATTCTTAACCACTGTGCCACCAAGGACGCCCTGAAGTCACCTAATTTTTTTTTTTTTTTTGTGGTACGCAGGCCTCTCACTGTTGTGGCCTCTCCCGTTGCGGAGCACAGGCTCCGGACGCGCAGGCTCAGTGGCCATAGCTCACGGGCCCAGCCGCTCCGCGGCATGTGGGATCTTCCCGGACCGGGGCACAAACCCGTGTCCCTTGCATCGGCAGGAGGACTCTCAACCACTGTGCCACCAGGGAAGCCCTGAAGTCACCTAATTTTAAAAGTCAAGTGTAATGGCATTTAGAAATTGGAAGAGTAGGAATCTTTTTGTTGTTGTTGTTCCAGATTCTGCTTCCATTACCTGCATCTACATTTTTAAGCAGATATGATGTATGGAATTACTGTGGGCTTTGGAGTCAGATCTGTGTTCGAATTCTAACCGCATCACAGAGCAGCAATGAGAGTTTGGGAAGTTCCTTACCTCTCTGAGCTTTAGGTTCCTCAACAGCAAAGGCTTAATGTTTTATTTCCAGCCTCTGATCTGGCCTAGTCTGTCTCTCTGTCTTTTTTTAATAGGAAACATATCTAAGAAGACCTGGCATAAGAATCCATGACATTTTTTCTCCTGGAGAAATGGAATTTGGTATTTTAATGACCACAGTGTACATACATTCAGTAATACACTCCTTTATTAGAACATTTCACCACCCTCCCAAGTACCTATCATCAGGTTGTAAAAGGACATTGTATTTACCTGCCCCTGGAATCTTCCTGGAATTTAGATGGCCTCTGTTGGGTTTCACTTTGCACTTATTAATAATTTAACATTGGGATAAAAATAAAAAACAAAGACTCTCATCTTACAGTGTGAGAACATGGGTCATGTGTGCTAAGTCATGCAGGTAAGATGAGTAGCAAAACTCAGTGGGGTATCCAGTCTAAAGAGGTCTTTCATGTGGGCTGTTGTGTCCCTCCTGTAGAATGATTGCCTTAGAATTAAAGAGAATTAATGTAATTGCTCCTGAAGAGGGAAATGTATTTTTGCTTTTCAAAGGTGGTTGTATAAGCTTTAATTATCTAATCCAAATACAGGAGCTTTCTACAAGCAGCTTTCCCTTTTACCAGGCATAGTCAGCTTGCAAATACTGCTGCATCTTTAGGTTTGAAAAATCACTGCATCATAATCAACTCTGTTGAGCATATTGTATAACCTACTCGTTAGGGAACAACAAAGTCCTGTTTTAATATTGGTTACTGAAAATGGTCTTTAAAGCTAGGGTTGGTTTACGTGGATTTTTGTAATTATTTGAGCTGCAGCTTGAGATATGGTTCTCCGTTGGTGGAATCTGTGTCTCATGTCTCGATCATTGTTTTACTGTGGTTTCATTTTCTGTGCTGTTTTTGTTTCATATTCAATTTGCTTTGTTTGGTGTGTGCTTTATCAGACCTTCTTGTTTACTTGTCACAGGAATATGGAGCTTTCTTAATAAAGTTAGAAGTATCTTTTTATGTATTTATTTTAGCTTTCTTTCTTTAGAGAATTGAAGTGTTTTCTAGTCCTGAAATTATTAATAATTAAGTACATGTAATATATTGCTAGTGGAACAGCGTAAAGCTCAAAGAAACTTTGTAAGTAGAGAAGAAAACCCTACTTTTTAAGAACTGGGACTCTGTCATTCTTGTTGAAATGCATACTTTTTTTTTTTTTTTTTTTTTTTTATGTGGGCCTCTCACTGTTGTGGCCTCTCCCGTTGCGGGGCACAGGCTCCGGACGCGCAGGCCCAGCGGCCATGGCTCACGGGCCTAGCCGCTCTGTGGCATGTGGGACCTTACCGGACTGGGGCACGAACCTGTGTCCCCTGCATCGGCAGGTGGACTCTCAACCACTGCGCCACCAGGGAAGCCCCATAGGGTTTCTTTTTTGTTTTTTGATATCTGTATATCCATAGGAATAACTGATATTTATGGAAAACTATTTTAGTCTACAGTGCCTAGTCAACCATTTCAAAAATTATTTCTCTCTTGTCTTTACAAGCTTATAAATATATATGCATATATGTATATATACATATACATTATATGTATTTATTTATATAAATATATAAAAAATTATATGTAATATTACTATATGTACTAATGCATAGGGTTTTGATGTTGGAACATATTAAGGAAATAATGTCATTCTTTCTAGGTAGAGAGGATTTTAGGGATGAAAGTTGATTCAAACTATAGAGGAAAATGATCAGTGCTCCTGTCTGAGAATTAAAATATTAAATTGCTCTTAGAATAAAACCAACCTCTCCTCATGGTTTGCAGTGCTCTTCACAATCTGAACACTACCTGGCTTTCCCTTCGCCCGCTGCTCTAGTCACACTCATCTCCTCTGTCCAACTCACCAAGCTCTTCCCCCCTCAAGAACCCTGGCCCTTGTTGTTCCTCCTTTCCCTTAGCTGTTCCCATGGCTCTCCTCCTGAATGTCTCCAAGAGACCCCTCCCTGACCACGTCAAGGTATTAAGTAAGTCTACTCTCTTTCCAATACTCTGCTTATTTCCTTTTCAGCACTTATCTCAGACTGTATTTCTTTTTGTTAATTACTTTGTTTTGCCCCACAAATGTGATTTCTATTAAGAGAGGTGCCAGTACCTGATAAAGTGCCTAGCAGCTAGTATATAGTCAATAAGTTGATTAAATGGAAGTTATTTACTGGTTTTAAGAGCTCTTTTTTGTTTGTTTCTTTATTTATGATTAGTTTATCATGCTGGACTGGAGGGATTTAAGTATCCTTGACATCAAGAGCCAAGCCAATATGCTTTCCAGTGCTCTTACCTGCATGCATTTCTCCCCATTTCATTGTGATTTTATTGATTGTTTGGAGAGCAACATGCGCTTTCCTCAGAGGAGACAGAGAACTCTGTAGATCTCCCAAGGGTATTGTGCCCTGAGATGTCTTTCAGAATTCACCAGGAACTAAATTACCTCGCAGCAGATCTTCTACGAAGGACAGGGAAGTCTGTATTGGTCTTTGGTGAACACACAGTTCAATAATGGAGGTACAATTATTCTGCTCCCAAAAGGGAAAACCTTGCCATTGTATCTGTTCAATGTGCCTTGTAAACAGCCCTGGATGGCCCCTTTATGGATTTGCCCTGTGTCTTTAAGCTCTTACTCATCCTTAAGCCAAAGGCTGTTGTTCCGCTTCAAGCTGAAAAGGAAATTTTGGCAGCTTGCTTGCTGTCTAAAGATCAACATTATCACCATGACAGTTGTCACTTTCAAAGTGGAAGAAGGGAAATGCAAATTTGGTGAGTAATTAAGTTAGTTTTGTGTCATTCTTTGGTGGTGTTCTAAATGTTGCTATTTATTTGTCTTAGGTAATCTATTTAAAGAAGACACCAGAAGAAGCCTACAGAGCACTCCTATCTGGCTCAAATCCCCCCTATCTTCCATTCAGGTATAACTGCTTGTGAGACTTGAGCTATGGCAACTTTGCTAGACAGCTCGCTACTTTAGAATTGGAGAATTGTGTTTTTTAATTGTATGAAGAGTGTGACCATGATATTACATGGAATGAAATGAGACAGTAGTTTTTATTATTTTGTTTTTGTAGAGACCCCCTCCCCCGTCTAGTAAGAATAAAATAGCTTTCCCTTTTCAGGAACTAATTTTTTTCCTTGAATTCTTTCTATACCTTGACAGTTTAAGCACAAACAGTGCCTGATTTATGACCTAATAACCACGTCAAGATTTGTTAGATTTCAGTCATCTACATCACTGATTCATCCATTCATTCTTTCATTTTGTGAGCATTGATTGATCTCTGACCAAATGTCAGGGGCTGGGAATATAGAATAAGAGCCTCAAAGCACCTTCCCAGAAGTACATATTTAGTGGCGACCCTAATCACCTGTTGAGCAGACAAATCTAGCTTCCATCCTGAGGAAGGCTGTCTCTCATTACAGTGCTGGAAAAGAATGTTTTGTAAGTGTCACCTGAAGAAGATATTTTAAAAATTTCGTGTAAACTTGAGCTTATTTAAAGAGTAGAAGGAAATGTACTACTTCTACTTCAGAAGAACTTCCACAACAGTCATCTCTGAAATGTACTACTTCTACTTCACAAGAACTTCCACAACAGTCATCAACAGAATTGTGAATGATTCTAATATTTTTGCCTTTTTGTTTATTTGTGTGTCCAAATCTACAAGCACATGGATTGCTTCTTATTGTTACTAATATCAAAATTACCAACAATAATGAAAGAAAGGAACAGGAAAGAATGAGGCGGCCTCTTTGTCTTCATTACTCTCCTGTAAACTCACAGAGGGCAGGTCTCAGTGCCTGACACTTAAAAGTGCTTTTTGTAAATATTTATTTTAATGAATAAGTTAAGACTAAATCCCCTAAGATCCAAAGGATTCCCACGTCTGTTTCTCAGACCACAAGAGGGAGAGTTATTAGGCACAGGGTGGGTGTCAGGTGAGGAGGATATAGGGACAACAACAGCTAGTATGCTTGATCTTCTCAGTGAAAGCAAGGGGTAAAGTACTGGAGTTGGGACAGTGAGAGGAAAATATCCTCAAGCAACCTAGAGAATGAGCTAATTAGCCATTGAAGGACAGATAAAAGGTTACAGATTATGTAGAAGAGAGTTTTAATGATGAGGACAAAGCTTTTTTTCTCCCACTTCTAATGGCTTCTATAATTTGAAAGCTCTTTGTACAATTCTATTTTTTAGAAAAGGGTAATTGTTTTAGTTAATTTGGGCTGTTGTAACAAAGTACCATAGACTGGGTGGGTTGTAAACAACAGAAATTTGTTTCTCACAGTTCTGCAGACTGATCAGGTGCCAGCATGGTCAAGTTCTGGTGAGGGCTCTCTTCAGGGCTGTAGACTGCTTACTTCTCGCTGTGTCCTCACATAGTGGAAAGAGGGCAGAAAAACGCTCTGGGGTACCTCTTATTAGTGCCCTCTTATAAGGGCACTAATCGCATTCATGAGGGCTCTACCCTCATGACCTAACTACTTCCCAAGGTCCCACCTCCTAATACCATCCCATTGGGGATTAGACTTTCAACATATGACTTTTGGGGGGACACAAACTTCCGTTTCATTGCAGTAATAATGATAATATTAATCACTTCCTAAATTTTAAGCAAAGTGGTTAAGAGTACATGATTTGGAGGCAGAGACACTGCCTGGGTTCGAAGGTTCATTCTGCTCTTTTCTATATGTAATAAGTAAGTATATGTAACTTGGGCAAATTACTTATCCTCTCTGAGCTTCAGCTTCCTTTTCTGTACAATGGCTTCAGAGCTATCCTGAGGATTAAATGAGGTAATACATATATCACCGTGCCTGGTGCAGTACCTGGTTTTTGTTTTTCTTGTTGTTGTTAGTACTATTACTATTATTCATAAGAAATAAGGATTATCCACAAGGATATAAATATGAATAGGAAGTATTTCTAATGATCACACATTCTAGTAGGGGCAGGTAGCTCTATAGGCACGTAATTAATTGTTAAAAAGTTGGGTTTTATAAAAATAGAAGAAAAGATTCTGACAGAAATACGAGAAAGTATCAGACTCATTTAAACTAAACTTTTAAAGGGTTTCGCAGGTAGAGGAGGAAAAGTTAGGCATCTGTGTACCCTACTGGAAAGCCCTGGAAGGGATTGTGTCTGAGGCAACTTCCAACATCCTCTGTGGTAGGAGCCATAGCATCCGTGGTGAGAGAGGGGCCAGCGACTGTGAAGGGATCATAGGTGTACTTTTCCTTGAGACAGTGAGGACTCATTAAATTTGTTTTTTAAATCAGAAAAATGTTTACAATTTTTTGTTGTTATTTTGAAAACAACACATGCACCTGGGGATTGTAATGCTGTAACATTTGTAAAATTGTAATTCCAGTCAATAGGCCCAGTGGACATTGTGGCTATTCAGACATTTTAAGTGGAAAATATATATTAATTTTTATGCTTGTGATAGTATCCACTCAGAAGTCATGGGAGATGTATTTGTTTCACAAGCCAGGTGAGCCTTGCTAACCTTAATTGTGAATTTAGATGAAGATACTGGAGAAGGAGAAGGAAAGAATGAATTCTTCCTTTAATCATAATTATATTTTAGCTTATATGTGATAGGTAATTAATTTGTTTCCTGAGAACTAGAATCTTTGAATAATTGATAAGATTGGAATGGAAGAAAAGATATAAAAAATTATTACTACTTAACGTAGAATAAAATCATAATTGTTATAATTGTAGCTTATTTTTCCAAACTGTTTTTATTTAAATATTTGAAAATATAAATACATTAACATGGTTCAAATATTTTAAAATATATATAGTTTATAGTGAAAACTCTCTCTCCCACCCTTGATTCTTATCTGTCCAGTCCTTTCCAAATAACTTCTGGTATTAGTTTATTCTATATCCTTTCTTTATGCATATATAAGCAAATACAGATGTACAGTCTTATTTTCCCCATTTTATCACAAAATGTAACATACTGTATGTACTATTCTGCGTCTTGATTTTTTTTTCACTTAACTCATCTTGGATATATCTTTTCACATCAGTAAATAGAGAGCTTCCTTCCTCATTCTGTCTTACTGCTGTATAATGTACAAGAATGCATTTAATTGGTCTCTGACAGGTAGACATTTAGGTCATTTCCTATCTTTTTAACTGTAGCTTTTTAAGTCACATGGTCTCAACTGTATTTTAGAAGAAAGAAATTGAGACAATACTCTGGAGAATATTGTAGTGTTGTTAGACATAGAGAATTTTAGTTATTTGTTTACCTGAAAAAAAGAATGCTTAACACAGACGTCAGGCATTTTTTCCCCTTAGTTTAGGCACCTATTTCCAACTAAAAGTTTGACCTTGAATATAACTAAGCTGTATTTCTCTGATAATGTGACACCAAGAGTTGGTGTACAACTTAATGTATTTACATTAAGTTGCATTTCTAAATCCAGACTCTTCATAAATCCTACATTTGAAGCAGAAAATACCACACAGTGTGCATTTATAATTCAGTGGAAAATTTAGTTGATAGAATACTACTAGTTTTCTGGAATTTTGCTACAGAAACAATTTTTTTCCTAATGCTGAGATAAGATGTGAGTTGATTTTAGTCTACTGCCCAGATCAACTAAAGCTAATGCAGTATTATCAAGAATCATCTTCATACTAGTCCTAGTCAGTCATCATTGCCTTTGCCTTCCTTTGATAATCTGGATTCTATCATCCACTAGGTTTTCCACCCCATTTATTGTTAAATTACATCTTTATCTTCATTGTCTAGATTTTTTTATCCCACTTCTGCATTAATACTTTTATTTGTAAAACAGGAAGCCTCAAAGGAACTTCTATTTAAATGTGATTGTTTTATTGTCTAAAAATTAAGAAAAATGAGGACAGTTTTGGAGGCTTGTTGACGTGTGGTTGGTATCTTTACATGCCCTCTTTACTGAAATGCCTATTTACCATTTGTGCTATAGGGTTTTAGTCTTTCTAATAAAAGTATTTTAAGGTTTTAATTTAAATAATGCTGTTCTTCAAGATTTATTGATTTAACAAACATTTATTGGAGCAGTCTCTTCCGTAGCACCTTTGCTCATTTTTCTAGAGAGGGTTGGCATGTCCTGTGCCTATAATTTCCTATTACATTTTGTTCATGCCCCATTACATTTGCTACATACACCATTAAAACAGATGTCTTATATTGTAATTATTTGTTTGCATGGCTGACTTTCCACCAAATATGGCTGACTCTTCTCTCAAGGGCTGGGATTGGGTTCTTTCCTTATTTGTGTGCCAGGGAATACATAATTAATTTATTGCTTTTTCTGTGCCAGTCACTATGTTAGACTTAAGGATCTAAAGATTATTAGGACAACTAGGTACCTGCTCCAGGAGGAAGGAGATTTAACACTGGAACTGGAGATTGGAGGAGCTGTTAGGGGTAGGCATCATGAATGCCTTTCACATTACGATGAAAATGGAGAATAACAATCCAGGTACTGGCTTTAGGTGCTGTAAGTTTTCATTTGTATGGCATAGGTTGTTTTTTATAATGGTAGGTTAGGTAGGATACTATATAATATGATGCTTGCAGTGTATTACTATAACCACAAGTACTGTCTAATTGAGTTTTTCTATTTGGATTTATCTTAAAAATTTTAAATTAATAGTTTTCTACTAACCTAGTTAAAAATTCACTAAAGATGAAGCAAATTAAAAAAAAAGATTTGGGTAGATTTACTGCTTATTCTTTTTTTTCTGTCAGTTTTATTGAGATATAGTTGATATACAACACTGTATAAATTTAAGGTGTACCGCTCAATGACTTGACTTTCATATATTGTGAAATGATTACCACAATAAGTTTAGTTAATACTTATCACCTCATATAGTTACAATTTTTTTTCTTATGATGAGAACCTT